AAATATTTTAAATATAATAAACTTTTAAAGTTTAAATAATAAAACAATTATAGATCAGTAAAGTTCTTAACAAAACAAAATTCATAAACAAAAAACTTTATACATGTAGTTATACAATTTATTATTCAGATTAAACTTTTAAAAACTACAGAACTGCAAGAACTCAACAGTTGACAGGATAAGAAGGACATTTATTCTAGAAAGATGTTTGTTTTGTGTTTTGTGTTTTGTTTTTTTGTTTTAAATCAGCACCACACTTAAAATGTAGTTTCTGGTCATCTAAGGTAGAAAGACTGTCTGCATGGATGATGTAGTTGGCACTGGAGTTAAAGGCGGAAAGTGTCATGTTGTAATTTGGTTGAACTGACCCTTTAACCGCTGCCCAGACCAGAGAATGTTTGTTTTGTGTGTCACCATGTTTCACTGGGTTTGTGTTGGGATGGTTCTCAGAATATTTTTGCTGCAGTCCGTTAAGCTTGCAGTTACTTCAGGTAGGCTTGATTTGTCCTTCCTCCCCCGCTCAGTGGGACTTTTAATGTTTTATGTGCTTAAGATGAAACAAAATCAAGTAAACCTCAAGTAGCTCAAAGAAGGACTCTGCTTGTGTTGCCCTGTTCTGGTTGCTGCTATTGTTGCATGTTGTTGTAGCATGTTCAGGTGTGTTTGCGTGTGTGTGTGTGTGTGTGTGTGCTCGCCTGCCTGTGCTGTGTGTTTGCAGTGCACACTGCTCCTCCCCTCTGGAGCAGACCTGTGAGACAAATCACACACATTACACACAACATGGTAGTGCACACTAGTGTCTAAGCAGTTAAACAGAGTCGTTCGATGTGGATGTGTACTCAGGGTTTCTGTATGAATGGCAGGTTAATGTGGTGCTAATTGTTTCCTTGTTTGCATGTGTACCTGTCTTTGTGTGCCTTTTGGCATGTCGTTGTGTGTGTGTGTTTGTGTGTGTCTGTGTGTGTGTGTGTCTGTCTGTGTATGAGCTCAGTTGCAGGATGAAGAGAGACGGCGTAAGCAGCAGCTGGAGGAGATTCGTAAGCGGGAGGCAGAAGAGCGGGCAGAGGAGGAGAGGAGGTGGAGAGAGGCAGAGCGGGCGAAGCGAGCGGCAGCTGCAGATGAGAAGGTCTGTTTGTTTGTCTTTGTTTCTGTCAGTCTGTCTGAAAACTACAGCAGCTGTTAGCTAGAGCGGACGAAAATGAGTCGAGGAGACCACTGTTATAGCTGAGTCAGCTCAGGACAAAGCTTTATTTTAAATGTATTTAATGAGTTTAGATCATGTTTAAAGTTAAACCTTTGATCAATTTAAATAAACTGAGACAAAAATATATTAATATGGTAAATACATGCGTGGGCTGAAACACAGTGAACATTTCTATGAAGACTGTATTACATCCTGACCTACATTATACAGAGGGAGACGATGTGCTGCTTTATATTGGTTTTATTTTAAAATAATAAGCCTGTAGCAGACAAACGTATCTGTGGTCTGACCCTGGGCTGTACAGTGGCTTTGGGAAGTGTCCAGATCCCCATCACTAGGTGATTTATACACATTTAATGTAAAATGGATTCAGTTTTGTTTTTTACGATTCTACAACACAGCTGTTCACACAGTAGCCCACGTACAACAGCAGAGGATCTAAATGTTGTCATAAGTTTCAGCATGAGGATTTGTCTGTTTTTTGTTATTAGGAATTATTGTGCATAGATTCTGCTCCGTTTTAAACTAAATCCAGTAAAATACACTAAATATAAAAAATAAATAGAGTAAAATATATTTTTCGAAGCCACTGTATAAATGCTCCAATGACTTGATCTGTTTTTCCTTCCTTTGTCCAGGCTCACACAGTGTTTATCATGTGTTATACAAGTACTTTGATTTAATTTTAAACTGTGAGGTTTTAAATGACCAGTGGTCTGATCTCGTGTCCACCCACACATCTCTGTCTTATGTGTAACGTCAAACATACCCCATGTTTTTATCGTTGTTGTGTCCAGTGTTGTCACCATGAAGCTGTTATTTTGGTACATGTCTCGTGAACTTCAGACCTGATCAGAGCACTGGTTGTTTAAACATCTGAGAGGACAGAAATGACATGTAATGCTACCACGTAAAGATGTGGTTTGCTTTTAAGATTTAAGAAACTTAATCACTATTGGTCGTCTGTGGGAAAACTTGTCATTGCAGCTGTTGGATTTAAATTGTTGAAAAAGAAACGTAGTAAATGGTGATCAGGAGAGGATGTTAATATTTGGTGCTGACATACTTTTTTGTAAAAACTGCTGTTTGACAAACATTATGTTGAAGATGTTGATTTTAATGTTTAAGTCCAATTGCATGCCCTCATCCTGTGCACCCCCACCCGATGTGATGTGTTGCCGTGTCACGTTGTGCTCCCACCCACCTTAAGCATGGGATCATGTTGTTGTTGGTCGTTGTTGTTGGTGTTTGTCAGGAAGTTCAGTTATTTCCGTTATTTTTTGGGGAAGCAGTTATAATTTAGAGGTTTTAAAATGTTTATTTTCTTATTTTTTTTGTTGCCATTTCCATCCAGCATTGCTTCAGAGACTGTTTAGGGAATGCCACCCACCCTTCCACTTTACAATCACTTCATGCACACACACACACACACACACACACACACACACACACACACAAAAGTCTACAGACACCCACCCTCCTCATACTCGCTCTCAGCCATCCAAACTGCACATGTTCAGAAACCCAGCCACCCACTCATTCAAACCGACACTCCCACTAATCCTTCCCAGTTTCTTCAGATTCCAACTGGGCTGATTCACCCATCAGCAGCAGCCCGGATACACCCTCTGCACCAGAGGTTTATCGGGCTGTGTGTCCTTAGAGGTGATCAGGGTGGCGTCATAAGAGATCGTGGCCGTATTCAGCCCACGACAGATCTTCAACGCATGAAACGGACCGAGAAACGCGAAGATAATCTGACACCAGAACCATCGACGCTGACCACGTGTGACCCAGAAATCTAAGCAAATTCCTCCAGTGTAGAGTCATGTTTTACATCACAGACCTCAGTCAAGTGTAGACACTAGGGCTCAGCCGCTGGAGGCGGGGTGAGCTGGAGTCGAAACCCTGCCCACAAGCCTTATACTATAAGCTGAGGCATATACGGACACACACGCATACACCCGGTGTTGAGGGAAGGGGAGATGGTGGTAGATAGGGTGGTCTAAGAATCAGAGCAGGTTCTTCTTCTGGGATCTAGTCAGGTTGGAGGACTTGGTAGGCTGATCAGTGAGTATAGCTTTGATTTGGTTGATTGACAACACTCTGAACTAATAAAACTCCAACACAGCGATTTTGGTCAAATAGAAGAGTAAACTCTTCTTCCTTATTTGTCTTGTGTTGTTCCTGGTGTCGGGCTGAAGTGAAACACCTTCTGGGCGGATATGATCAAACCAGTTAGACCCAGTGAAGTTCAGGGGCATCTTTTATAAAATAATTATAAAGTATTGTTTGGAAGTACTGTATTTCTGGATGACATGGTGTTAGAGGCTAAAGCACGTGGTTGTGGTTTCTTTGGGTGGCCTCCTTTTACAAACACAGCAAGCAAATCAAAGAAATCATGAAGAGGAAAAAAAGTGACTTCTTTCCTTGTAAAAACAAAAAAAATGATTCAACAATTTGGATAATTATCACTAGTAAGTATAATTGTTAGTTGCAGCCCTGAACAACATCTTGTTAGATTCCAAAAGATGTGATTTTGCTGTCAAAGTTGGAACACTGCTCATTGCATAATTGATCTCCTCACATTTTTGCTTGATTAGAAATAGAATTTGGTCCATAATTTCACAAACCTGTCGGTGAAAGTCAGTTTGTTCACATACAATTTTTAATGGTGAACAAGCTGTGCTCCTCCAAACCAGTGAGGGTAGAAACGCTTCGACTTACCTGCAACTTCATTCAAGTACACACTGTACAGGTTATGTAAGTTCAAGATAAATAGCAGAGAAATTTTAAAAAAATCAACAAAAGCATGTGAAATGACACAAAGGGGAAATAACGCCTGTATCTCAGACGCCATGCTTTAAGTGCTGTTTGTCTGCACTCCCCAAAGGGATGAAATGCCTCATTTTTAAACCAGAGCATTCATAATGCAGACATTTTATCAATACAAGACAAATTTGTATTTAACTAAGTTTTTTGTATAGTTTTGGTTGAAGTCTCTGCCTAAGATGGAACTTGATCATTAGAGCATTTTATAAAGGAGGCCCCTGACCTGTTTCAGTTCTGTCAGATTGGTAGACATGATGGACTTGGTCTTTGTCCTGGACCAAGTCTCTGTTGTCAGGCAGCCCAGGTGGAGCAGGTCTCGTCAGAACAGTCGGATGCGCTTGTACCTGTGGTAGAAGCAGCGTAGTGGCTATTTAACTACAGCTGTAGCCTGTAGCTCAGTAGCCAGTTGGTGTGAGCCAATGAGAGTGGAGCGTACTAACAGGTTGTCCCTCCCCTAGAGGAGACAGGAGGAGGAGTACTACACTCGCCTGGAGGCTGAGCGGCGCCGGCAGCACGAGGAGGCTGAGAGAAGGCTGCTGACGCCTGACGAG